TTTTGTGTCTTTCCACTTGACTGCTAATATCCCTTCATCACATACTGCTATTTCACATTCACCTCTTTCTTTTAGTTTAGTTTGAAACTTAGGTGTATTTTTACGGTTTGATATAAACGTTCCTACAGCAGGAAATTTTATAGTGTCAAGTAGACGTGTTGAAGTGAAAAAACGGTCGAAACACAAAGCAACGTTTGAACTCGTAATGGTTTCTGGCAATTTTAGAACCACACGCTCTCCCAAGGTTCCATCAGTAACTTCAGTTTCCCGTCCACTATATATGTTTGTGTCATAAACATACCCGGTTTCTGCATCGCATCTTGTCCAAAGTTTGATTCCTCTTTTGACAGGTTTCAGAGGGAGATACTGTTTCAGACTGGACCTCCCTTTGAATTTCGTCATTGACTCATCAATGGATTGAAATGTGCTGTCAGTTCTCGCTTTCAAAAATGTATATTTCAAGCAGGATAAAACTTCTTCAATGTAATACGTTTTTGATGCATCTGGAAGTTTTTCGGGGTCACAGAAATACAATTTTGATATCAGTAGCATAAAACGATCTCGGGAAATGCATTCTGATATTGCTTCGTTCCGGAGGGATTTGTTGCGAGACCAATACTGATGTATTCGTGGTACACGATTATATGACATTATCAATGAACAGCCCAGAATAATTTTTATTTCCCCTGGTGATGTCATCTTTGCATTATTGAGCTTCTGTAGGCGCATATTTGTATAATGACTTATCTGCATTATGAGACCCTTTGGAAAAAGTTTATAAAAACAATCAAGATTGGTGGAACCTCTGGTCAGGTTAACCACTATAATTGGCTTGTCCTCTTGAGGCAGTGACATTTTTGGGGAAAAATTATCAATACCGCCGTGCCAAATAAACTTACTATTGCTTGTTGATTGTACAGGAGCTGTATCAGTGAAATTTGCATCTTCAGAGTTGTTATCACTATCTTCATTTACCGTTTGTACATTTTCAAGCATCTGGATATCTTCATCATCTGAGGAATCCGTGCTATCTACTTCAGAAGATATGGAGGCATCAGAGAATTTATAATCTGTGTCACGGCTATCGTCACTGTCGTGGAAAGGATCCACCTCCATATCAGTTGAATTATCAAGCTCGTCCTCGTTAATCAGTGGTCGATTCATCCTAAAATTATTTCAATAACAAAAACTAAATTCGTTTGATAGAAAACTGCTGGGACAATTACATCCCACACTACCGCACTGCAGGGATGTATATGTCCCAATGCAACAAAACAAGGTATATATGCATACAGATCAATTTATTCTTATATGTAAATGTGACATGCAATTAACCTTTTCCTTTTGTAATGAGAAACAGAAAAATTTTTCACTAAAACACGTAGAAAAAACTTAAAATATTGCTTACACGTGTATGCACCAAGAACACTCTTACACTTATGACCGTATACCAAGTACAAATTAGTTAGGTTATGTTGACCGAAGCACGTGTTGTGAAGTACTGTCTACAACCTACGGTTTAATCCCATCCCAGCGCTTTTAAAGCGAATATTTTTCGCTCCAGTAATTTTTGAACATTCTCTGGGACTTATATATCCCCGCAGTATTGAAAGGGAATACCTTAATCTTGGACCTTGAATATCTTCATGGGCGTGGCCAGGTAGGGGCAGGGGGTGCTCGAGCCCCCCCTAACTTTAAAATTTTCCTTATATATATATATAATAGTACCCTGAAATGCCAGCTTAATAGGGTTGATTTTTTTTTGACCCACCCTAATGCACATTCATACGAGCACCATTTAATTTAATTTAAAGAAATGGCGTGTTGTCTATTTCCGCTGTAGCGTTTGTAGTGCACATTTTTAGGCGCAATATTTAACTACTTTCGGAGAGTCGACATCTACCTCTAGAGTCTTTGATATAATATCTACCGACGAGGTGGATATCTAGACTAGGTTGTATAGAAACTTTGCCATAACACCTTTGCTGTAAATGGTGTCTAAACATACAACATTGTAAGTTGATAAAAGCGTTGTAATAATAACAGTTTCTGGGTAAATGTTTTGCATTTGTGTTAAAGCCTGTTCCTTTAGAAAAAAATTAAACTAGCAATGAAGAAAATCGATGGATAAATAGAAAATAATGATTGGTCAAAGATGCGCAAGGATTTTTCGTAGAAAATATGAGCAGAAAATACACCACGTACACCTGGGGGGCTACTCTGTAATGCGATGCGAAAGAGAAATGCGATGCGATAGGCAATCGCCACAGCGTATTCTTACGATGTATTTGCCTATCGCATCGCATTTCTCTTTCGCATCGCATTACGAAGTAGCCCCCCAGATTAGGTGGATTGTTTGCATCGAAAACAAGAGGTGTCAGAAATGATTAATTAATTTCTCCGAAGCTATAAGGGCTTTGGAAAAGTGATGTATATACGGTTTATGGAGAATTTTATTTACCTTAATTTCCCGTATCTCGTATTACTGTGTACTACCAGTATTTTTGAAGCTGAATAACGGTAAAATGCAAATATCTCGAAAAGCTATACTTGGAAAAAAATCATCTCGATTTTCAGAATAACCGAGCAATTCTACATAGGAATTGGATAGTGGCATAGAACAATTTGCTGTAAACCAGTATTATTTTTTATATTTCTTATTAGAATTGAGTGGAAATTTTAGAGTTATGTGAAAATTGTAAACAACTGCTCGGTCTAAAAATGTGGGAGCTTTTAAGACTCGTGTGGTAGATGTGGTAGAACCTAAAATTTAAAAAAATATGTGGTAGAGGTTTGCACAGTGGCTACAATGTTAAAATTTGTGTTTCGCGAAAGTCGAGGTTTCGCGTTTATCGAGATTACTAAGGGTGCACTTTATATACATACATACAGTAAGTACGCATAATACTTATTTAACCATGCATTTTCGTCTAAAGTGCAGCTGACGAATTATGTTATGCAACAATGGACTCAATATGCAAAAAAAAAACTCACCAATTTAATTCACGAATGTGCAAAAACTAGTTTGTTCTTCAATCCACATTCTGTGCGCAAGGGCCAAAGCAACGAAGATATGAAAAAAGTAAAGTAAAGTTAATAAAATACGCCATACATAAAAACACGTTTGCACATAAAGAACATAGCACGGCACACACAAGGGTAAAATTGTCTGCACTTTGTAGCGCCCCACATAAGTTTACACTTTATGCTCGTTGCCACTTGTTTGTTTATGTGTTATTTAAAAGCCCCACCTTCTCCATTTATTCATTTGCACCAACGCTCCACGGAACTGCAAAAAACCACATTACACACCGCAATATATGTATATACATACATACACTTTCATATCTACAAATGAACAAAGCAACAGTTAAATATTCGGGTACACAGTCACATTGTACAAATTGGGCGCATGTGTTGGTTCTCTATATACGCGAAAGGCGCCAATCAGCGCAGGCCCACAACAGCAATAAGAATATAGAGAACTAAAAACTCGCAGTGGTGCAGTAATCGAGGCGAGCGAAATACAAACAACAATGGGTACGGGGTGTTATGTGCGGCGTGCATTTTTGCCGAAGGCCTGCAAAGCCAACAAGTTGAAGCCGTTTGAAGAGCACGTTGCTGATTGGTGGTGGTTGTGTTTATGTTTGTGTACAAACAAAAACAAAAAAAAAACAGATGGCAAAGAGTGAAAACCGATGAATCTCAAAACCAGAAAATGAGCACCGGCAAGTGAGCGGCTGAGCTGGGATCTACTGGAGCGGATTTCCGATGTCTTTGAATAGCTGAATGCTCCCAAAACCAAGTCGGCGTAGAGAGCGCACAACGAGCATATATTGGTGAATCAAAGTGTGCGTATGTATGTGCATTGACTTTTCCGGCACGAAAAACAAAATCCTACGCGATTTTTTTTTTACCTTCCTTTTATTAGCTCGGGATGTAACTATATAATATTGATGCGCCTAAAAGATGCAGCTATTTCTATGCTCAAGTTACATACCTGATGACAATACGAATGGCAATTATAATAGGGAGGTTTTAGTTTTTTTTAAACATAATTTTATTTCAGTATTACGCCGTTATCAAAAGAAAACAATTTAGGCCTTGGTTAGGTATTCGAATGGTTTGCTACAGTAAAGCAATTGTTGTTGGTATGTTGTTATTGCCCCGCGTGGACTTCCCATTTTGAGAGAGTAGGTATGTGTGTGTGAGTCGGATTGAGACTTTTAACTTCTACTATACATTCGTTTGTTAGTTAGTTGCTGTTGCTGCTGCCGTGGCTGCCTCTGGCTGCTGTTGCTGCCAGCTTAAACGGCTGCTGGTGGTCACGGCAAGTGCCAGTAATAATAATGTTCGGCTATTGTGAGCATCGCAGTAGCAACGGTTTTTTTTTAATCGAGCAAACGAGTGAACGTGAAGCGTATATTTAAATAAAAAATTATATTCGCGCGTAGATGACTAAGCCGCATTCGGGAATTAACCAAACATTTTTGGATATAAAAATCTGAAATACGTTAGGACAACCAGATTTTAATACACAAAATTTTAAATTCAAACTACATTACGGGCCCCCTGAAATGAAAAAAAACTAGTGTTAGTGACATATGTTCTTTTTAATTCGCCAATAAAACTATTATCATGGTTTGTGGGAATTTCACAATACAACGACCCACTCTCCAGCGATGCAATTTTTTTGTTGTGCTTTCGTGATGTACAATACGACTTTTCCAGCTAATATTAATTAGCAGGTTAATTAAATTACAAATAATAACTTACTCACTTCTTTAGATAATTATTTGTGCGAAAGGTTATGAAATTGTTATTACAAATTTTACGTATGAATAAATTTAGTGAATAAAACGAAAAACAAATTGTGAAATGGATTGCCAATTGGCTTCGTTGGGAATTTTTTTCCAAACTCTTCCTTAAAAACAAGTGAAATATTTAAATTACTAATGAAAAAGTGCTTTGCTTCCTGTATTTGTTTTGTCAGAATTCGCAAATTTAATTAACACTTTTAAACGCCAATGTTGATTGAATTCGAACAAATTGGCGCCAAATGACAGCTAATGTGCACGCACTACATACATATATACATAGGTACTTACTTACTATGTATATACATATGTATGTACAATGTGCTTATATGACATACATACATTATTGAGAAAAATATGTGGACATATTACTTGACTCCTTAAAGGTCTAAAGGGCGTATTTAAAATACTTTACAAAAGCTAAATTGATTGCCCCGAAATTCTAGCCGTTTGATATAGAAAGCCCTTAATATAAGTGTGTACAAAAAAATTTAAGTAATACTCCCTCTTTTGGATAAAACGAACACTCGCCAAAAAAAAATATATTGTTCGGCCGAGCTTTGTGGTCTGCGTCTTGCAGATATATCTAAAACAAATGGTGGGACCTACAATTTTACGCTGCCCCCGAACGTCAAACACACTCGTAGGTTTGCCATTGCCTGATGTTAGAAAAAACTGTATCTATTTTTACCTGTTACTCGGACTAGGGATCGACCCTAAGTCCTACCGCAGTACGCAGTATTTTCCCAGCTTTACCTGTCGGATGACTCAAAGCTTGCTGGCTTTCGAGGCTTAATTTTCGCTAACGGTTTACAGTTTTTCGACTATATGTAGGTAGGTGGAAAACAGTCATGGTGACGGTTGATAAAAAACTGGGTTTAGAGAGGGAAAATTAAAAGTCAGAAATACAAACATTCACATCATTTACTTACCCAACCTTTCTACGAACGGTACATTTCCAAAGAAATACTAGAATCGGCGCGATATCCGGCGCGAACCCATTAAAAGAAGTGTTTCTTTTTCAAGAGTTATCAATTCTTTAAGTGTCATGTACTATTCAGGTGAAGGTGTTTGTCATTTATTTGGTATTTTCCTCTTTTTTGTAAAAAATTGGCCTGAAAATGTAGATGATAAAAATTATTAGTAAAAATATGCCATTACCGGTTGGTCAGGTCCTGAAATTAGACGCATGTTTTTACAAATTTCATGCAGTTTCCCAAGATATACATAACTTGACCTTTTCGCGCGACTTTGCAAATATATATAATTTTCGACTGTCTTAGTTTTTCGATTTTCAACTTTTTTTTTGATAATTTTCGCGAAAAGAACTTTTCGAACAATGAAAATATTACACCAAACATTGCGAGAATGGAATATTTGCACCTATGTACATAATTTTTAAGTATAACCTTTGCTTTTCTGGGAGGGGAAAGCAGAAAATAAATATTAACCAAAATTCCATCACATTTACTGATTGCGCCCATGATAAAAACATTAGAAGGTAAAACCATTCACAATTCGTCGGCCAACATTTTTTTCTGACGTTTTCAAACATTTTAAAATCATCATGATACAAATATTTAAAATAAATAAAATGTAAATATATATATATATAAATATTTTTATCATGAAAATCATATAAAATTGAAAATAAAAAAATGAAATTGTTCACAATTGTTGTTGGTTGAGATTAAAAATGAGAATGTGTGTGTGAGCTTGAGTTCGAATTTCTCTCAATGACTGCCTCTCAATGATTTTACCTTCTAATATTTTTATCATGATTGCGCCCGTGATAAAAAATAAGAAGGTAGAACCGCTGCGTGCAATTTTTCAAACTCTTGACGTTTGCAAACAATTTAATTTTAAACTTCTACACACAAACTCACACACACATTCTCATTTTCAATCTCAAACAGCAACAACCCAGCCAGCAGAGAAAAGTACTTTTTGCCGACAGTGCAGTTTTTGTACATTTTTCGTATCCGGAAACGTTCAGAAAACGAATTCCATATTTGTTAATTTTTCGTATCCTAAAAATGTCATCATCTTATTTCAAAACAATAATTTTAAAATATTTGTTCAAACTGAGCATTTGAAAACATGTATACGTATTCGCCAGTAGCTGAGTGTGCAGAGAAGTGTGCTACTATTTGTTAGCTTTCAGGAGGTCCCAGGTTCGAATTCCGTCAGAAGCAACATATTAAAATTAATTATTCATATTGAAATAATTGCTGAATCTTAAATTTGTTTTTTGTTTGGTTTCCTGTAACTATGAAAAAGTTTCTGTGAAGTTCATAATAAAATAGTTTTCAACGAAAAATTGACTCAGAAAAATTTCAGGAAAACAGCCGAAATCGCATCCGTTTTACAAACATTTTCGATAGTTTTCTGCACATACGTTTCGGATGAACACTTTGTGGGAGAATTGATTTGAAAAATGTCCGAAAACGGATTCGGAAAACGGATGAAACATCGTTTCGGATACGTTTCCGGATATTTTGCTGGCTGGGAACTTTGAACAATTCCTTTTTTTACTCTCAATTTTATATGATTTAAAATGTTAGTAAACTTAAAAAAAAAATCATGGCCGACGAAGTGAGAGAATGGTTTACCTTACTATGTTTTTATCATGATTGCGCCTACATTGGTTGCGAATTGTAGATGTTGTATGTGTGTAGTATCCTATCGTCCCAATATTATATATTTAAGGTTTTCTAATAAAAGAGAGAGCACAAACTAAATTTCATCGAAATCGGATGAAATTCAATGTTTCCACCCGCAAGAGTGGAGACCTTGGCAATTAAGCCTTCTTTACCAAATTTCGCAATTGCTTGTTCCTAAGGAAAAATTAGAGCGCATGTCAAGTTTCAGCAAAATTGGTGCATGTTAAACTTTGATTTCCACCTGCCTCCATATAGTCGAACACTGTGCGGTGGTCTGAGATTGGCAGAAAGTCCAAGTTTCGAAATGTCTCGAAATAACCAACTACATGAGGGGTTGATTCAATTCTGGACATATAAATAGCACGTTGCATGGACTCAATAATGGTAGTTGATAGATCGAATGCTGAGTTACTAGAATACTAGGTTTACTGTGTTACAGGATTTCATAATTTTTCCTAATCTTCCAACTACAACGTTGGTCCTGGACGTAAGCCAATAAAAGTGCTTATAACGATACCCAAGAGCATATATGAGTATTTATGGTGCCTAATTATTTACCCGAGCTTGTGAGGCTTTTTAAACCTTACGTCAGACTTGCCTTAGAGAAATTTACACAGGTACGACGTACTACTTTTAAACTGCCTACGCGAAAAATTTATGTACAGACATTACGGTGTATGCTTTACCGATGTATGCTATGCAACTGTCCCGTAAACTAAATGATGGTTTAGCAACAAGCTATCGATCTGTACTTCAGTTTGGATAATCCAATTGAATACGAAAGACTTAAGGCACAAACTTGTTTGTCTCTGCCCAATAAAAAAAAATGTATTAGATTTCCGTTGGCAGTTCTTGATGATAATATCTAACTATTATTTTAATTTATTTGTGAATCTTTCATTTTAAACTGTGCGCATTCTAATTTGAATGACTTTGGCTAAAAATGATTTGTAACAGGGTTTTTCGGTACAGTTGTACTAAAATATGACCAGGTAAAATATGATAAAAAGAGCCTAAAATGCGGATAGAAGAATTGAATTATTTGTTTGCTACTTTGACAAATAATTATAGTAAATAGGTACGCAAATTTAGTTTTTGAATACTTACGGTATTTTGTAGGGTATTTCCTCTCAATATCGAACCCACCAACAAATTGCCCTTGTGGTGCGGTACAACATAAAAAGCCAGCGTCCTACCTAACTACGCATCTCTTTGGGCTTTTTGGTGCCAATTCACCGCCTGTTTCTTTTGCCCCTCTGCATTGTGGTATATCAAAGTTTCACCCAAGTAATGAATTAATGGCGAAAAAGCTCCTCCAAACTGTAATTAAAAAATTCCAAATGCACCTTCCACAACCTCGTGTGCTTACCATTTCCGATCAGTCGACAAGTCATCGTAAGTGTTTGAATTGTTGCGGATTTTTTCTTATTATTTTCAGGCTCTGTAACCGCCTAAGCGGTTTTGGTCAGAACAAAATGTCATTTGGGGCATTTTTTGCCGGAACTATATACACAAAATAACGCGTATATTTTTTTACACGTGCAACGCATTTACATAGGAACCTATCACATTTATACTTGGTTTTAACATAAAAACAAGTAAAAAAGTCTAAGTTCGGGCGGAGCCTAACATTAAATACCCGGCGCAAGTATTAAATATATGTTTTCCACCTTTCCAAAAGCTACCGCTACATGATAAGCCGGGGTGTATAAATTTTAAGTAAATTAGCAAAATATTGAAATTTCAAGCATTTCTGAAATTTACCGTTATATGAAAAGCGGCCGTAATTTTAGTCCGATTTCAACAATTTTCAACGGTATGCTTTTATGTGGCAAGCACAATAACCGTACTGAGTTTGGTAAAAATTGGTACAACGGTTACCGAGATACCTATATGTGATCATAAGTGGGCGGTGCCACGCCCATTTTCCAAAATTTTAACATAAGCGTATTTCTTTGTTAAGAATTGTTGCAACCATCAATTTTGAAAAAAATAGCTTTAATATTTACTGATTTATCGAGGATTTCGTATTTCTCGAAATTACCGTTATATGGGATGTGGGCGTGGTTATTGTCCGATTTTAAAAATTTTCGGCCATTTGGTATGCTGTACCAGGGTCAACAACTGTGCCAAGTTTGGAAGAAATTGGTGCAGCGGTTACCAAGATATACACATGTAACCATAAGTGGGCGTGGCTACGCCCATTTTCCAAAAATTTATAATATTCTTATTTTTCGTCTAAAAATTATTGTAAATATCAATTTTGAGTGAATTATCTTCAGTAGTTACTAAAATATCGCAGTTTTCGTATTTCTTAAAATTACCGTTATATGGGAGGTAGGCGTGGTTATTATCCGATTTCGCCCAGGCGTAGTTATTGTCCGATTTCGCCCATTTTCAATACCATCCGTCCTATTCGTTAAGATATCTCAATTTTTACTCGAGTTATCGTGTGCACAGACGGACGGACGGACGGACAGACAGTCACCGCTTAATCGATTTCTCTTTTCATTCTGATCATTTATGTATACATTTGTCTATATCTATCTCGATTCGTTTTGCCTGTTACAAACAACCGTTATGTGAACAAAGTTATAATACCCTTGTGCACAAGTGCGCTCGGGTATAATAATGCTTGATGAAAGTACGAAAGATACCTTTTTTAACTCTTTGAAAAGTTCACTCGGTTGTTAGCTTTCAATAATTGGCAAACACAAACGAAAAGAAGTACCCTATACAAATAAATATATGTGCAATCAATTTCCTGTATAGGTTTTCTTCCTTTTAAATAAGGATACTATATTTTTTGTATGCGGTTTTATGGCGTTTAGCTTATAAAAGCTATCAGTTTTTTCCATGCAATAAAGTTGGCATTCATGCATAATTTTAACTACCTTTATCGCAAACAAGGTTAGTGTTTTGCCGAGCTTCTCCTCCGATTTATGGCGTGAGCCTTGATGTTGTCACACAAAGGGGAGGGACCTACAGTTTTACGCCGACTCTGAACGGCAATTGCCGTCTGCCAATCACAGCATATTAAATATTTAATTTGACTTAAAACCGAAGTATACTAAACATAAATGGCTTATCAATTAAAGAAAATTTGGCTTTCGAGAATAGTTTTCTAAAATTATATTTTTTTAAAGGAGCTAAAGTGAAGATAAGCGATAGTTGTAAACTGAGAACATTTAAAAGTGATTAGCGGCAAAAGAACGTTAGATATCCCAAGCAAAAAATCGGCGTAGTAGGCCTTTATTGAAAAAAAAAATGGTAAACACCTAGTTGAAATTGAAATAGTTCCCTTATACATATCGACACATTTGTCTAGGACAGCTTGTTCAATAATTTCGAGACATACATATATATACATATGCACATACGGTGCTACCGTTCATATTGCAACGCAAGCAATTATAAGATTTAACAATATGTAGGACTTTGAAAATAAAGTTTTCTTGAATTAATTGTCTTAAAATCACATGTGACTAGAGTAACTACATATATCTAAAATATAAATCTAATATAATTATATACTACATATTCATAAAATCAGACATTGTTGTCGAATTACGGTTTGTGAGGTTTAAAATTTCGGGCCTAATTTTCATGTGTCCTAAGTAACGGTTACCTCAATATTTTTTTTATTTGCGAAAAACACGTGACCACAGACTATTTTAGTGATCTCGAAAAGATTTGTAACATACTCTAAAATTTAAATCCAGGCGTACTTAATGGTATGTAACCGTTACTTTGGACACCACAGCTATCAATGCTTTGAAAACCACTGCCGTCATTTTCGCACCATTTAATAGTAATAGATATCTCTCCTCCGATTTATGGCGAGCGCCTTGATCCATGGGAAGAGATCTAAAGTTTTGCGCCGACACTGAAGGCTGATTGTATTTTTATGAAAAAATGTTTTTCATGGTCATTTTATAAGATTTATAATTGTTAGGGTTCTTACTTGTAAAAAATAAAGCTTACAGCGTATTATATTTCGTCAGAAGATCGACATGTACATATGTGACAAATATTTAAAAGTGTAGCTTAACTGAACGCTTAACTCGGTTAAAATTTCCATTTAGCTACATAAGCAACCCTGTTGGCATCCCCCGTGAAATATGTAACTAGTTAAATGGGATTTTTGCACTAAAATCAATATTTGCAAAGTATTAGGTACATACCTAAGTATGTACATACATATATAAAGAAACAAAAGCTTCCCTAGGTCTTTCTCATAAACAATTCAAAATATAAAACTTTTTTCACATAACCTGGCCGAACTCGGATAAATAGCCGAGTTTATGTTGTTAATTTGCATGTATGTATGTATTTCGTTGTTTCAGTGAGTGTTGTTTTGTAACTCGGTTGCAAAAGAATACACCTAATATCAAACGGTTCTAAACCAAGCGATTTCGAAAGATCTAAAGTTTTGTGGAGCCATAAAAACCATGAAAAATTTAAAGAATAAAGCAATACGAGAAATCGTTTATTATTTCTTATAAATTCTTAAAAATTTCAAAAAGATATTGAGCATTGGCGTTTGTGTTAAATGATAGTATAGAGTTCAAAATATAGATCGATGAAAATTTCGAAATAATTTGCGAATATTAGACCAGTGAGATATGTCTTTACTTTTGGCTTACAATCAGCAGTCTTCGATAATCAAGTTCCCAATAAAAATATGCACATATGTACCTTACGGTTGCCATTTTGGGCTTTTCCTACCAAAAGTGGTAGGTTTTTTTTTCTCGTTGGTAGGATGGTGGGACGCTTAAAATTTTGTTAGGTTTCTTTGCTCATATAACAGAAAACATCTCTGGTTTGTAGTAGTGTGTCACTCTGTCAGCTCTATGAGTAGGCTTACCAAATTGTAACAGTATCAGTTTTACCCTCATTCTATGGATGGTTCAACTGTTTGACAATACTTTACTGGCATAGGCACAATCTCACCAATTACCCTCGGCGGTTCTCTGAACTCCGTATACGCTATAAAAAGTTATATCCACTGAGTATTTAAAGGGATATGAAGTGATTGAATTGATGGACGGAAAGGCAGGTTTGTAATTCGGATATTTTTCTTAGAATCGAAACAGTTTTAACAATGCCAAGGTTGTTAAAAAGGTTGTTGCTTAGCAAAGTTCGGCTCTTTCAACTTTATCTTCGCTTAGAATATTTTGGCTCTTTTTACTTTTTAATATACATATTTCTTTGCTGGACATTCTTTTCCATTGTGTTGTTTTTTTATTTAATTCTTTTATATACACATACGCAAATTGAGATCGGAACATTACCCGCAACTGGGGAATGAAAATTGGCTTTCTGACTTAATGTTCTTTATGTTTTTGATTTGTCGAAAATTATTTTAAGTTTTGAAACTAAACTTATTATTATTAAACTTATTTTATTCATGATCTCAAAAAAAAAAAAATAATATTTCATAATTTTCCATGGCTAGAAAAAAATATTGCACACGATTTAAAAACAGATTTTGAAAAAAGATTTGTCGATTTGAAATTATTTAAATGTACGTGCCGTATATATTCAATTATTGGTTCAACGCATAACTGTGAATCTTTATACTCTACAATGAAATTCGTAAAGGCAAAATACCGTTCACAATTAGTTGCGTTCGCGTACCTGACTATTAGCTTTTTGTGTTCACGTATGTAAAAAATTGCAAAGTAGGGGAATTTGAGAGAGCAAAATGACATTTCATTTTGAAGGAAAGCTGTTAGTTTCTGGTGGGAAAATTGTTGCCAACAAGAAAACCGCTGATCAAAAACAACTGGTTGGAATTTACGCAAATCCCTAAATTGAGTTTCTTGGTTTGGAAGTTAAAATAGTAAAATGCAGCTAATTAAAGTTGTAAGAAGTAATTATTCGTTTAGTCGGTGAACTGTGTTAGGATAAGATTTCAGAATTTGTTTTCATACGTTTTCAATTGTATACTTTTGAATGTAAACAAAATTTCTATCTGCTGTTCGTCTAACTTGCAAGTTTCTGTAAATTTTCTGATGGCGTACTATTTGGAATATTTTTCTCTTGTGAGAGAACAGATGACATTTCGTCTGGGCCTTGCTCACCCCTGGCATATTACATAACAAATGTACGGGTTTCAGAATATGTTATTTTTGATTATACATGAAAATTAAAAAGAAAACTTATTATTAGTCATACTTATTTCCAGTAAAACGGAGGATCTCAAAGTTTTTAAGCGCAACTCAAATAAATTAATTGCAAACCCGCCGCAGCGCGAAGATTTTTCCCCCAGCCCGGCGGCCCCTAGACTCGGACATTTTCCAATCCTAGCCGTGAGGTTTATTTTTACCTTACTTATTTATGACATAAATGCAAAACCGCATTTGTGAGGTTGCATAAATTATTTTCTAGAGAGTAAAAACACTCGTACCCGCATTTCGGGCTAGTATATTTAAGGACGAATGGATAAGGCAAATCCAATTTTTGGCAGCAAATGTCAGGTACGCGGTTTTGCAGAACGACGATACGTGGTTTTGTACTTTAAACGACGATATATATACTTCATAATAAATATGTGTATGCAAATGAGTGATGTATACAAATTGTACGTCGGAATTTCATTTTCTGCTCCGATTTTTCACGTAATTTTCTCCGAAGGCTTTATTAAAACTATAAACTAGGCGATTTTTTTTGCAATTTTTCGAAATATACTCGAAATTTTGAGGGTGTAGAGGTCAAACGGACCTCAGATTCGAGTTCAGTGGGTCGAATTACTTGTCGGTAGGTGGGTCTGGTTAAAAGCACACAACACTTTTTTGTGTGCTATGTATAATATATACTTAAATATGTACATATAAGTATACCAGCTATTATTCTGACCTTTTTGTTTATTTTAATTATAAATAAGCAGCAAAAAAAATTTATTTACTGCCGTAAAACGCCGTTTTCCTAAATGGTAGGAAAGAAGCTCTTTCGATAGGTTTCTGAAACAGCTCTTGGTAGGAAAGAAAGTTTTTCAGTGGTAACTCTGATGTACCTATGAATGTATATTTAATTTGCATTCTTATTTTATATGTAGATACACGTTGCGTTTCGTTGTGATTTTCTGAGAAATCGTTAAAGTCTTCGCATCGGCTAAAAAAATAAAGTCGTACAAGCTGCCGCAGCTGTTTCTGAGTGTCTTTTTCGATATCAGCGTATTTCCAACTTCGGTTTGGTGCGCGTGAGTCACACTACGATGTGTGCTCTGAAATATTCATAACGTCCAAAACAAAGTGCGACAAGTCAACGTCACGCTGCCTGCGCTGTATCGCTTAAAAATTGAGTGAATTAAGCAAAGAGATTGAACTGTATTCATTTATGTTAATTTGTCGCTTAATCATTTATTAACTAATTCGCTGATTTTACGTATATAAATACCTTAGTATCTAGAAATGTAGGCAAACTGTAATTAAAAATCAGTGATCATTTCAAAGTTTCCGGTAACACTTGGGGAAAATCCAACATTTTCGGAAGTTAAAGTGACACTACCAAATAAATCTTGAATAAATAAGCAACAAGAAACAAACTGAATCGGGTTGAGTGGGATTCCCTAATATTATGAAAGGAATATTTATATTTTTTAGCGGTTGAATGGAAAAAAGAAACGCCTTTCAATAAATGCCCAGTGAATAATTTATGCCAAAACAGTTTTATTTGAAGCAACTAAATACATAATTCTTGAAATATAAACAACATACTTGTAAAGTGAATAGTGCAATCGAAGTGCAACTTCTGCTTACCTTCGGTCCTCAGAAGTCGCAAAGCTGAAGATAAAAACTACACCGAGTAATCCCGCCGCCGTCGCTTCCCTTAACGCCGCCCCATTTCAGCAGCTACCAACCTCATCACACAACGTCACCCACGCTCAACAATTTACACCGCCCTCGGCGCAGCTGCAGCCGCAGCTACAGTCACAAGTTGAACAAAACAATCCCAACGTGGCTGCCGTTGGTTGTCTTCGTTCCATTTCTTCCGTCACCGTATATCCGCAGGCCGCCAAAATTGCTCCTTATCAACGGCGAATGCATTTGCCCAGCGCAGCTGCTGCGGTGTACAGCGGCGGTTCAACGTCTGGCGGGCTCGGCGGCGGTGGGGGAGTTGGTGGTATTGGCATCGGTGTTGGTGTTGGTATCGGCGATGCCGTCGGCCACAACGTCAGCGGCCTGATTGGCACTGGTGCCGCAATGATCACATCATCTACCTCGCCAATGGGTTGGTGTGAAGCCGCTTCAGTGCCACAACCGATTCCACCCAGTAATGCCAGCGTAGGTAGTAGTTCACCCATTGGTGGTGCCAGCAATGGTACGGCGCACAGTAGTAATAGTAATACAAATAGCAGCAGCAACAACAATCATGCACACGGTAACAATAATCATAGTAGTAGTAACAATAATGCTGGATATCAAGATTTGTGGTGGACGGAAAGAATGGTGGATATGGCCCACGAGAAGTTTCCCAACGAGTTAGGTAAGTAAATAAATGTTTAGTTTTGTAATTGGTGAATTTATAAGTTTAAAGTGGTACATAGTGGTAATAAATCTTAGATTTGAAAAATGAGTAGACGAAAAATCTACGATGTTCTCCTTTTCATATTCTTTTATTTAACTTGCTCATCGCGGCGAATTTTTCAATTGATTTTAAAGTAAATTCTGGACGAGATAGATACTTGAAACTTTTAGCTTAGCTTCGATCATGTAATTTGAAACAATTCCGGTTCATATAGTACTACTAGTGCACTGCACAAGCCGATTCATTTACGTTTTAAAGCTGCTTGAAAAAAAATACAAGCACAAGTATGATTCACACTTGTTTCAAACAAGCCAATTCGACTCATAGCTTGAACGCAAATGAATACGGTAGTAGCTTGAATCGAACAAGTTTCAAAACAGGAGCAGCACTTGTAAATACATATGTACGTACATATTGCAAGCGGTGAATCAGCTTGTTAAAACCCAAGGGTATTGTTATGTGTTAGTGTGTTTTTGTTTTTGTAATAAGTAGTGAGTTCGATATGTTTGAAGTAAATCAAGTACGAGTATGAGTTGAAATCCAACAAGCAAGCCAAGCGTTTACTTGCTTGTCTCGAACCAAACCCAGTGAATACAAGTAAGTTTTCAAGTAGCTTGAAATGTAAGTAGCTTGCTGCAGTACCTTGGTACACACATACATATGTACATATCGTCGCGACGCCCGGATAAAATGTTGTCGTATGTTACTTTCAGCATGTTTTGGAAGTTCGCGATTGAACTTTGGAATGCAAAGAGCAGCTGAAACCATTTCTCTCAAAGAGAAAACACCGGACCTCCATTACTCCTTTCTATTTTAAAAATTTACATCTAAAAACTCGAAAGACATACATATATGTACACACAAGGGGTGGGTTTTGGGGTTCACACCCTAAATAACCTCAAATATAAACTGTATCTTTAAGCTTTAAGCAGTTTCCTGAAAAGGCACTTTGCTCTTGTTATAAAACGTATAAATCCTCTCCCCGCCCTCCCTTGGATGCGCCCCTGTATGTACGTACATATCTCGATGGTCCTCTGTAATAACGACACAATTTAAAATTCAAAAAATAAAAAAAGTTACTACTACTAAGTGGCTCTTGTCTGTAATCCTTTTCTTATCGGTAGGGATTGCTAAGTACTACAGGCTAGACATGGATTCGACAAGGATTATAGACATGAGCCGCGTAACAGTAGTAGGGGTTTTTATTTTTGAAATTTTGAATTGCGTCCTTATTGCACAGGACCATCGATATATCAATTGATCGTTGAAATCAGAAATTTGTGAAATAATACGGTTAAACAAAATTTAGTCCTATTTTATCTCAAAAATCTCATCTTATAGATTTTTTGATGCAGATTTGAAGTGCATTTACAAATTTTTTTTAGAACGTCCAGTTTTTGAGAAAAAAATTGTTGTAAATATAATTTGGACATAGTTCTACCGAAGAAGGTATAAGGTATAAAATGAGCTCGGTCACGTTTTTGCGATAAAATATGACCATATTTTGTTGAACCGTGTAAAAAATTCCACGCTCGGATTCATTAAATAGTGACATGTACCGTTTTCGGAGTTGACCCATGTTCAAAGTGGTAACAAGATCAACGGAAATAAGGTTAATTGACTTTATTTCGCACCACTTACCTTTTCAAAAGCGAAATAAAGTCAGCAAAAATTTGGAAATAAAGTCATTGCTTAAAGTATGTCGATTCATAGAAAAAAAATGTTGTTCTTACAATAAACATTGCCCCGTAAGTGTTGTTTTTTAATAGATGAAAAAGGTTATTGCCAAATCCTCAGTGTTGTGATATTAATCAACACACAATCATGAACTACCACCAATTGATTTTATTAAAACAATTTAATTTACGAATATGTAAAAACACATGTGTATAAAGTTAGCGAAACAACATCAAGCAAAAAATGTCGCATATGCCCATGAATTTGCCGTTTTTTGCCGTTAATTAGTTGTGGAAAAAATNATTTTGTCGCTCTTGTATTTTTTTAGATATAAGGTGTTTTGCTAACTTTATATAAAGTTAGCGAAGCACCCCTCCAAACTCATAGACAAACGACTAGGCTTTATGTCAAAATTTACCGTTTTTTGCCGTTCTAAGATGAGCTAGTTTACTTTTGAAAAAAAAAATTTTTCAACAATTTTCAGAAGAAAAGCATAATAATATAATAGAAAAGCAAACCCGATTTCTCTATGTACCACTTTGAAATTTAAACAAACAGTAATCACAATGGTTAAAATTCAAAAAATTAAGGAGCTTTCTTATCACAATCAAACGACAAAATTAAAAACAGTTTTAATGCACAAAACAATTCAAACGGCAAATAATGCAACAAAACAATTAATTATTTTTAACCAATTTTTAAACCGCTTTCCAAGTCCCTATTTTTTTTTTTTTAATAAGGCTGTTTAAACAAAAACAATTAATTATTTTGTTGCATAATTTGCCGTTTGGCTTGTTTTGCGCATTAAAACTGTTTTTGATTTTGTCGTTTAATTTTTTTTTGTTTAAACAGCCTTATTTAAAAAAAAATAGGGACTTGGAAAGCCGTTTAAAAATTGGTTTAAAATAATAAAACTAATTAATTTTTTTGTTGCATCATTTGCCGTTTGAATTGCTTTGTGCATCAAAACTGTTTTTGATTTTGTCGTTAAATTTTTTTTTTTGTTTAAACAGCCTTATTTAAAAAAAAATAGGCACTTGGAAAGCGGTTTAAAAATTGGTTAAAAATAATAAAACTAATTAATTTTTTTGTTGCATAATTTGCCGTTTCGCTTGCTTTGTGCATTAAAACTGTTTTTGATTTTGTCGTTTAATTGTTTTTTGTTTAAACAGCCTTATTTAAAAAAAAATAGGCACTTGGAAAGCGGTTTAAAAATTGGTTAAAAATAATAAAACTAATTAATTTTTTTGTTGCATAATTTGCCGTTTCGCTTGCTTTGTGCATTAAAACTGTTTTTGATTTTGTCGTTTAATTTTTTTTTTGTTTAAACAGCCTTATTTTAAAAAAAATAGGAGCTTGGAGAGCGGTTTAAAAATTGGTTAAAAATAATAAAAACAATAAATTTTTGTGTTGCATAATTTGCCGCTCGAATTGTTTTGTGCATTAAAACTGTTTTTGATTTTGGCGTTTAATTTTTTTTTTGTTTAAACAGCCTTATTTAAAAAAAAAATAGGCACTTGGAAAGCGGTTTAAAAATTGGTTAAAAATAATAAAATTAATTAATTTTTTTGTTGCATAATTTGCCGTTTCGCTTGCTTTGTTCATTAAAACTGTTTTTGATTTTGTCGTTTAATTGTTTTTTGTTTAAACAGCCTTATTTAAAAAAAAATAGGGACTTGGAAAGCGGTTTAAAAATTGGTTAAAAATAATAAAAACAATAAATTTTTTTGTTGCATAATTTGCCGTTCGAATTGTTTAGTGCATTAAAACTGTTTTTGATTTTGTCGTTTGATTGTGATAAGAACGCTTCTTAATTTTTTTAATTTTAACCATTGTGATTATTGTTTGTTTAAATTTCAAAGTGGTACATAAAGAAACCGCGTTTGCTTTTCTATCATATTATTATCCTTTCCTTCTAAAAATTATTGAACATTGAAAAAATTGCAAAAAATTGTTTTTTTTTTTTTTTTAAATAATGTTTTTCAAAAGTAAACTAGCTCATCTTAGAACGGCAAAAAAAACGGCAAATTTTGACATAGAGCCTAGTCGTTTGTCTTTGAGTTGGGAGGGGTGCTTCGCTAACTTTATATAAAGTTAGCAAAACACCTTATATCTAAAAAAATACCAGAGCACAAAATTATTTTTTCTACAACTAATTAACGGCAAAAAAACGGCAAATTTATGGGTATATGCGACATTTTTTGCTTGATGTTGTTTCGCTAACTTTATACACATTAAAAACACGATGCGGAAAACTAAACGCCTGCGCACAGCTGGAATACGAGAAATATTTGAAGAAAGAGTGTAGAAATTATCCATAATAGGGAATTTACATGATTCAAATTTCACAGGCGATTAGTTGAACCAAAAGTTGAACGAAAGTAGGTAGCCGACCAACTTCATTGTAAGCGATTAGGCCGTTTAAGGCCGTTTACAGCAGGCAATTGTTGCTTTCAACTAAAAATCGCCTGAAAAATCGCCTCATGTAAATTCTCCATAACTTGCAAAACATGTTTCGTTTCCACAAAAATAAAGCGAACACTATTAAATTGAAGAAACAGTCCATGTCCAAAAACCCCGGAGGAACACTGAAAGAATTCTGTGTCTTAAATTAGCATATTTTGAACGAATTCGGAATGTCTAAGGTGGAAAAGAAACCAACCTTTCTATAAGGAAACAATTATAGAAAAAGAATTTTCATACACTGTGTTCATTGTCTCCGCCAGAAATTTATGACGACATCATTTAAAAGCAGCTAGGGAGAACGACGACACTATTTATTACATGGCGCATTCAACGAGCCAATGTGCCAAAATGCGGGTATAAACAATTATTGATTACACTGTGAGACAAATGGTAGGGGTCAGTGATCGGGAAGGGTTCAAACTACCGGGGAAAGTTATATCGGTAAAAAAGAAGTTATACGTGTCCCGGCGTTTCGCTGGGTCACGTCTAGGAATCGAGATATATATATAACTATCATATAGGGGAAATTGTCACCTTTGGTGGCCTTTTTTTGACATAACTCGAGAACCACTAGCCCGATTTTGCTCAAAAAAATTTAAAAAAATTAAAAATTACAATTCCTTTAATCTGTTCATATAATGTTTTTCTATATAATCAACCGGGACACGTATAACTTGTTTTTGACCGATATAACATTTCCCGTTGGTTTCATCCCATCCCGATTTTGACTGTCGCGTAGTGTTATTTAATATCGGTACCGAGATCTTATAAGTTAATTGATTGGTTTTCACACACTTTTGAAACACAAATGATAT